CTCCCCTAGCTGACTCACTTGTATTTATTCAAAAACATAGAGTTACAGGAAAGACCATTTTGTCCCTCATAGAAGATGGGACACATAACTTAAACTCAGATACAATAGACCTTTCACTCTCAAGCAGATAATCCAGAATGACCAAAATACCCCTGACTCGAGCATTCTAACAATCTTGAAAAGGAAGAAGAAAGTACTGATTGGACAGAGAAGTTAATAAAACTTCATACCTCAAACTTCTAAGCATCTCATAAAGAACTTTATGAATAAATCATACATTAAGGAGAGCCCCACATCCTTTGGAATTTATTACAACAAAAGCAAATAATAGAAGAGAGAAAAGGAGATAAGCTACCAAGAGCCCAATCCAAGTAGCAGGCCTTGTTTCGCTGTAATGTGGAACTTGAGCTTCAAATATGAAAAGGATTTAAGGATTATAATCCACAACTTCCAGTCCTTCTATTACTTAATCTCACTCTTAAAAGATCCCTAAAAAGATTTCACTTTTGGATCTAAAAATTTGACACCAAGAAGTCCTATTATAGTAGAAAACAAGTAATATTTTCATTACATACAAGACTTCAACCATAACTGTCCAGACATCCCATTGCCATATAAAAAACATTGGAATTTTTTATCTACTACTACTCACTATAGCCAATACAAAAGTTTAAGGTACAATCATTAAATGAAAATTACAAACCAAATGGTGGAACAAGTATCAGTCATGTTTAAGCTACCAACAACCATACTGGGAAATAAACAGGAGCAATCCAAGAGTTTTCACAAATTTTGAAGACTTAGATAGGATGAAATCTTCATGGCTATGACCATACTTTTTTTTATCAGCAACTCAGAAAATGAATTCATTAAGAAAAAATAACGAATTACAACAAGAAGTTGTGAAGGATACAAATAGACACCCTGTGTCTAAACCCCAGGCATTACAACTGAGCCCAAAACATAGACTGTCTTTGTACTCCTTTCTTAGCAAGAACATCCACTAAACAATTGGCAGATCTTCTGACCCAATGGACTTGAATAGACATGTCCCTAGAAAGCCATTTGTACCTGCTAAGGTTGTTCCTTAGATGACAAGAGACTCCTTCCCCTTGCTTTAACCAGTCCACCACTACTTTGGAATCTCCTTTAATGATTAGCCTTTCAAAACCCAATTCCTTGGCTATGACCATACTTATTATTACAAAGTTAACTCAATGATCAAATTGGCAAGATTCCATGCATCTAAATATTGGAAGAGGTTCTTCCTTACAGAAAAACTGCTGAGAAGAAACCATAATCATGGCATATTAAAAACATCCTCTCCTTCTGCACCTCTTAGTTAAGAAATTTAAATATCAAAAAATATTTACAGGACAAAAGAAGCAAAGGGAATAATACATAAGTAAACTCATTTGGTTCTACCAAAACAGAAGTAAACTCATTTGGTAGTTTACAGAAATGCATATCATCTGAAACAATTATAATTCTTTCACTTGTATTGAGATTACATGAAAAAAATAAAAAGTTAGAACATCATCAAATTTGTGGAAGTCCCAACAACAAAGGGTTCCATTAATAACCGTGTCAAGAAGTAAAACATGACGCCCAATGTAATAGAGATGGGGAGAGCCGGCAGTGCTCGGTGGCACACTGCCAATAAAATAAGGGTGCAGCCAAGTCCAGATATGATTGCAAGGTAACAAGCATACACAGTCATCAGATCATACATAGCAGCTCTACCCACAAGAACACTGTAGAAGACAAAGTCCCCAAGACCAAGTTTGATACCTGGCGTTGTGGTCATAGACATATCATGGCCATTGCCACTGTTCATCCTCGTTTGTTCTCTTTCATTCTCCAAACCAAGAAGTTCAACAAGGGGTGACATTTCCTCTTCAATAGCATTTTCAGATTCTGCATTCCCAGATATACGAGCTTGTAGGGACACAATATCCACCGTCGAGTAGTTAGAAACTTCAGTACTCGTTGACCGTCTCCTTCCCGAATGAGCAACTAGAGGTGATATCTCATCCTCGATGTTACTGTTAGTCTCATCAGCTTGACGATTTCCTGGTTCAACAGGAGAGCGATCAGAATTTATACGATTTCCTAATACAGTGTCATTTCGACCTCCATTATTCTGTCCCACCGGCTGGAGCTCAACAGAACCTGACTCTGATGAACTAGCAACCAAAAGACCCAATGCTGTTGAGCGACGACCCCCTGGACTACTTGAGACAACTGGCCGAGCCTCATAAACCAATGCTGGAAGTTCCTCATCTCGGCTCGAGGCCATCTCAACCAACAGCTTCAGCGGTCCACCAGGAGCCAAAACAGCAACTAAATCATACACTGCCAATGCCACAAGCAACACCCACGTCGTCCATTCTGGTAACTTAGTGAACCATGTGGCAACAATGATTCCCAAAAGAACCATATACCCTTGCCGCAAGAATATCGGAAATCCACGAGAAAAAATCGACAGAACACCAACAATAGTAAAATTGAAAAGCAGAACAGAACTGGTTATTGAATCAATAGGTATGGAGAAATGTTGAATTATCGACAGAAAGATTGATCCACCCATAGAACCCAGTACAAAGAATGCCGAGAATCGCATGTAGTTCTTCAAGAAATTGCTGAAATTATAATAATACAGAACCACAAGGAGAAAAGTAACCGCAGCGATGAGTATGACGAACACTGCAGCGTTGAGTAATGCACCTTCTAGTTTCTGGGTTGTCGAGTCAGAGGGGCTTTCGAGGTAGACCAGCGTTGCAGCAGTGCGAAATGGCGTTGGGTCGGGGGAGGAAGGAGTGAGGGCGTATACCAAGAGAACGACTAGGAGCATGCAGATCGAAACTGGGGTCATTACGCCGATAATTTCGACGCCAATCGATTCAAGAATGCTGGATTCCATGGTTAGAGAATTTCGTCAACAATTTGTGGATTGGCTTTAGAATTGAGGATTTCTGATACTTGGAGTCTTGGAGATAGGGAACTCGAAAGATGATCAAATCGGTAAGTTGGATCCAAATTTGAGAAATTCTGATTCTTCGAGATAGGGAACTTAGGAGGAAGAAGATCAACTCAATATCCGATCATCGTAGCTGTTCAGAGGGGTTTTGTGGAGGAATTGGGGCTCCGCAATTTCAACTCGCCGTTTATTTACGAAAAAAAAAAGGGGGGTTAAATTGCTAACAAAATAACTAAAATGACTCTTTTACCCTAATTGACTCTTCAAATTTTCAAATTATTGGAAACTCTGTCACAGTCACCAGAGAGTTTTGTTAAGCGACATGTATTCTCAATCACAAATAAAAAATGAACGTTGATACTAAAAAGTAGAAACAAGATGAAAATTCAAAAAGAAAAGAGATGTGCACCATTTTTCAGACCTCCATTGAGAAGAAATACCTCTTTATTTCAATTTGTCCGCGTAACTTAGAGAAAAATCAGAGTTTGCTTTAGTGCTGCCGGTCATTCCAAACAATAATTCCTGTACAAAGTCGTAATGATTAAGTGAAGCGGAATTCATCCTTTCATTTTAAAGCTTTTGTTCGTATTAGAGAGATTTCATTATTTCTTTTTTCTATCATATTAGTGGCCCGTGCACGGGGTATTTGATTGATGGTGATGTTTGATTATGTTATATATGGTATAGATTTGTAATTTATGTTAATTTTTTCAATTTTTATGATTTTTTATTTTTTTTTTATTTTTTTATGCATTTTTTTGTTTTTATAATTTATATTATTTTCTTTATTCTATGTGTTTTTTCATAATTATTTTGTAATAACATATATAATAGGAAAAATATAAAGTTGAGGGTAAAGTTGAAAAGCAAAATTAGAGTGTTTTGACCAAACCAATTGCACCATTCTTATTTTTCAGTATGATTACATATAAGTTTCTATGATTTTCTACATTTGTTTTGTGAATTCTCAATGTATTTGATAAGAACCCAYTAGACACCTGCTCTAAGAACTCTTAAATCAATTTGTTATGTGCATACAAAAACTACAAAACAAGTTGTAGTTGATCAAATTAGAACTTTAAGGAAATTAAATCCTTAAATAATTCAATCTTGAAGACGCCACAAAGGTTGATCACTTCCTTGATAAGCCAATATATTATATTCTACCAAGAACACAATGCTGAAAATACCTCTATATTATTGATGATCTCATTTTACATAGTTGTAGCATTTATATAGGCATGTAAATATCATTATCTTATAAGGAAACTCAATAATGTAAACATCATTATCTTATGAGAAAACTTCTAACTAATGAGGATCCCTTTAATTTAAGAAAACAAATCTGCTTTGATATAGGAATCATTTTAAAAAACTACAACTAATGACAACTAAGCATAGAAAAGTCAAAGTAAAACAAAACAAGACAAAAGCAAGCTCAATAAGACAAAACAAACCCATCAATACATCTTAGCATGCGGATTGGGCATTTCCTTATCATGTCCATGTGCCTTGGTCTTATGTCATGGGTTCCAAGTTTTGTTCTTCCAGATCTAGGATTTGCACATCGTCTTGCACATAAAGATAAGTGATTATCCTTGGTGAAGCTTTGGAAAATTCTAGAACAGCCTCTTTGTCATGCACTTCCATGATTAAGCCTTGTAAAGCCTCTTTCATCCTCTTTGTCCTTGCCCTAGTCATTGGACCACCGATTCCTTGCAAAGGATCTTGAGAATATTTGGGAATATTAGCTTGAATCATTTGGCCAGTAACTCGATCTCCATTAGTATTTCTTTGTTTTTTGTAATTTATATTGTTTTCTTCATTTTATGTTTTTCATAATTATTTTGTAGTGACAATATATATATAATGGAAAAAATAGAAAGTTGAGGGTAAAGTTGGAAAGTAAAGTCAGGGAACCAATTGCAACATTCTCATTTTTTGGTATATATATATATATATGTATGTGTGTATGTATGTATGTATGGTATAGAAATTTTTATGATTTTCTATTTTTTTTTGTAAATGCTTTTGTGTATTTCTTTGTTTTTTTTGTAATTTATATTGTTTTCTTTATTTTGAGGAGAAAGGTGCATAGGATAAAGAGACACAATTTCTATTTCCTCCTTCCTACTGTGAAGTAGGAGGAATGGATAAGATATACAATATACTAAGAGGAATTTAAAGGAGAGAATTGGGGTTTTAGAATTTATTTATTCGTTTCATGTGTACATGATAATATTTTCCCTTTTGCCTCATGTCGTTCTACTCATCAATGGTGGAACCGTTATTTACATATCTAACAGCTAGCATCTGTATATAGGTTGATCTTGATTCATTTATATTCGGATTCGAATTGAACACCTCTTCGATTTTTGTAGAAGAGTTTGTATCTCCTACCAACAAAACGCATTCCAAATCCCTATGACCCTACCAAGTACCAAACCTTTACATTATTACATTGGTAGGGTGTTAGATTATTGGATTGGCCTTATGATCGTCGAGAAAAAACACCTTAAAACAAATCAATATAATGAACCTGAAAGCATTTCCCGATCCAATACAACTTATTATGTTAATGAAGACAATTGAAATAGAGGGGAAATGGGAAAAAATACATGAAAAAATAGGGAGAAAACCAAAAAAGGCTTCATTTAATCATTTAATTGATTGTTCGATGATGAAAACAGAGAGGTTGAAAAAACCCATTCCTCCCTTTAATTTGAACTTGTAGGTTTTGGGCAAAGCATTCGATACTTGACATATGTTGGCTCTAATCAATGAAGAGGTTCGTTAGGTAGGCCTGGTGGGAGTAGGATCTTAGTTTCTTATTCAGTAATCCATTTTTTGTTTTTTTTTCAAGACTTTTTATATCTATTTTTTAGAAAAAAATTGTATGAAATATCAAATTATTTTGATCACAACTAATTTTTAGTTTTGAAGTATTTTAATTGATGCCCACTAACAAAATGCAAATCAAGAGTTCTAATGTTGATTTGAACATAAACTCTTTTCGAGAATAATTCTATGAAGTGGACTCATAGAATTCATATTAGTTCATGTAGACTTGTTCACGGACTAGGTTTTGGGCCCAACTTTACATTATCTGGGGCTCGGGCCCATTAGAATTTTGATAAATGGCAAGCCCAAATGATGGGAATAAAAAAATATCATATTTTTATCCCCAAATATTCATTCTTTTACATTAAATTAGCATTTAATTGGACTCATTACTCTTGTATTTCGATTCAGGGAAAGCAAGAAGGCAAGTGGAGGAAAATAAGGCTAACTGGATGATTTTGCACAGTTTCGGCACCGTTCAGTAATCGGGGCACAACTCTCAATTCCAGACTCCTATTGGGATGATTCAAGACGCACTGGAAAGATAAGGAAGAACTCCACAACTCCCGTGTTTGGGTTTTGACAGATTCGGTCTACATCGAGGTCAAAATCGGGCCCGAAGTCGGAACAGATTCCTAATAAAGCCCAATTCATAGTTGAAGCCCAAATCCGTAGGAAAGCCTTGTAGCGGCCCAAGTTATTAAAGAGCCCAACTCGAATTCAAGAATAAAGAGTCCCATCAGAGTCAAATTTCAAATGTAATCCTAAATGGATAAGATGATTGAGATTAGATTACTAGATAAGAGATAGGATAGAATTAGATCAAAACTGATTAGGACTTTCTATTTTTTGAGGATAATCTCCTAAGAGGAGTTGGAGAGAGCCCCTCCTCCTAAAGCTATATAAAGGGGGGGGGGGGGGACTAGCTTTAGGCATCACTCAATCACTGAAGCACTCAATCAATTCAGAGGATCAGTCTATCCATCTGGGAAGCAGAGCAAGAAGGAGTCGACAACCATGAGCGGCTAAGCTTTTATTTTCTGATTCAAGGGGGATTTTCGATTCAATTGTGTCATTGTGAGGTTCTGTGTTTAATTTAAATTCTTWCTTTTAATTCAAGTATTYGTTGATTCTTGTGCATGTTCTTATGGATGTTAATGTTAATTAGTCTGACAAATTAATTAATGTTGATTTAATTGTGAGCTTACCTTACCCTACAAATGTTAGGGAAGTGCGTGCTTTTCTTGGACATGTAGGGTTTTATCGTAGGTTTATTAAGGATTTTTCAAAAATTGCCCTGCCATTGTTCAAATTTCTTAAAAAATATGTGCCTTTCGACTTTGGGGATGAATGCAAGGAAGCATTTGATAAGCTCAAGAATTTGTTGACGATTGCACCCGTTATTCAACCACCGGACTAGAACTTGCCCTTTCAAATCATGAGCGATGCAAGCAACTATGCGGTAGGAGCTGTTCTAGGTCAACGGATTGATGGGAAGAGCCATGTCATTTACTATGCTTCGAGGACGCCGAATGTTGCACAATGCAACTACACAACCACCGAAAAGGAGCTATTAGAAATTGTTTTTGCTTTAGATAAATTTCGATCATATTTTCTTGGCTCTAAAGTGATTGTGTTTTCTGATCATGCAGCTTTGAAATACTTATTGACGAAAAAGGAGTCAAAACCGAGGCTGATAAGGTGGATACTTTTGCTCCAAGAGTTCGATTTAGAAATCAATGATTGAAGGGGAGCTGAAAATTCGGTGGCGGACCATCTAAGCAGATTGGTAAAAGATGAAGACTCCTCACCCATCTCTGAGCTTTTTCCTGATGAGCAACTGTTCCAAATAAAAGGTATGGTCCCTTGGTATGCTGATATTGTGAATTACTTAGTTACTGGAATTTTGCCTAGTTATCTTAGCAAGTCGATGCAGGATAAAATTAGGTATGAGGCAAAATATTATGTTTGGGATGAACCTTATTTGTGCAAATTTTGCTCTGATCAGGTGATTAGGAGATGTGTCCCTGAAAGTGAACATATGTCGATTTTGAATTTTTGTCATAATTATGCTTGTGGTGGTCATTTTGGGCCAAAAAGAACTGCTAGGAGGGTCTTAGATAGTGGGTTGTATTAGGCAACTTTATTTAAAGATGCATACTTGTTCTGTAAAAATTGTGAAAGATGCCAACGAACAGGTGCATTGTCTCGTAGAAATGGGGTATTGATTTTATTGGACCATTTCCTTCCTCTTGTGGTTTTGTTTACATACTTCTGGCAATTGATTATGTCTCGAAATGGGTGGAAGCAAAAGCCACCAAAACTGATGATTCTAAGTGTGTTGTAAGTTTTATCATATCTAACATTTTCAGTAAGTTTGGTATTCCTCGAACCATCATAAGTGATCAAGGGACCCACTTTTGTAATAAAGCCGTTGAAGCCTTGCTAAAAAAGTATGGGGTGCATCACCGACTCGCCACTGCCTATCACCCTCAGACAAATGGACAAGCTGAGATTTTCAATCGAGAGGTCAAATCCATTTTAGAGAAGATGGTAAATCCAGGTAGAAAGGATTGGAGCCTACGTCTAGATGATGCACTTTGGGCATCTCGAACCGCATACAAAACACCAATAGGGATGTCTCCTTATAGGATAGTTTTTGGCAAATCTTGTCATTTACCAGTTGAAATCGAACATAAGGCATATTGGGCAATCAAACGTTGCAATATGGACATAGAAGAAACTGGAAAGGCAAGAAATCTCCAATTACAAGAATTGAAGGAGTTGCGGTTAGAAGCATGTGAGAATTCGAGAATCTACAAAGAGAAGACCAAGTTGTTCCATGATAATTTGCTTTTAAGGAAACAATTTATGGTTGGTCAAAAGGTGTTATTATATAATTCTCGACTCAAACTCATGCCAGGTAAGTTGCATTCTAGGTGGATGGGTCCATTTGTTGTTACTAATGTGTTTCCTTATGGTGCAGTGGAGATCAAAATTCTTGATACAAATAAGGTTTTCAAAGTGAACGGGCACAGATTAAAGTTGTTCCATGATGATGCAAATGTCTCCTCCTTGGTAGACATCTCGTTGGATCTCCCTCATTATTCATCGAATTAAGAGAGCAAGAAGGACGTCGAGCATAACGACGTTAAACAATTGCACTTGTGGGAGGCAACCCATTGTGTTTAGTTATTTTTGTTTCGTTATTCTTCTTGTTTTCAATTTTAGGAACATGGTTGTGTTTAGCAGCTGATTTCACACCGGAAGGATCTCAACAAGGCGTTCAGGGAAGTTCCCTTAAATCTTTCTATCTTACGCACAGTCATATACATTGGGGACAATGTATACCTTAAGTGTGGGGGGATTAAGGGAATTTGATAAATTCTAGATTAACTCTAGCATGCTTCGATCATCACTTTTTAACCTTGCTTTTTGAAGTTTCTGCTCCCTAGAAATTTATCTTTGAATAATTTTAAACTATCATGATTTATGTGCTTAGGTTGAATAGACAAGACAAGATGCAAGCATGACTAACTGAACTTTTTGACTACGTAAGGCACCTCATTATTTTGGAATAAGCAAGATTCAATACAAATGTAACCCTTATGAGCAATTTTTTTTAAGCCTGTCAAACATAGTTTGATTATTTTAGAACTTTTTTTGCAGTCATGTTGAGACCACGCCAATGAGTTCGTGGATCAGAATGGAAATGGTGATGTCTATTATTGTGCAAAAAAAAAAAATCGTGACAAATGTGAGATGGAACATAAAATGCACTCACATTTAGAAGCGAAAGACAAATGTGTGATAGAGCATAAGATGCACTCACATTTAGAAACAAAAGAAAAGGGTGAGATGGAGCATAAAATGCACTCACCCCTAACACTCCATTTCAATTTTTGATGCATTGAACTCATGCTAAGTGGAGGAGACGTGATACATAAGCAAGTTTATGGTAATAACATACCTTGTTTTGACCTAAGAGACTAATGATGCCTAAAAAACAAAGAGAGATATTTGAATCCGGTTGCATTTGATTGTTAAAATAATGAGTGCCTATTTTAGTGCAAAAATGTTCAGTTTTGGAATGTTTGTTTTCCTTGACTGTTGAATTAACTTGGGTTCATGAGGAATGGTGAGTTGAAATTACTCTTTGACAAGTTAAAGAGGAGAAGGAAGTGGAAAATGAAAAGATTATTAAGTCTGGATTGAAGCATGCGAGAGGCTAAGCATCATGTTGAGAGAGAGAGTTTTAAAAATCAATAGGTAGTTAGATTATTTTTGCTAGAGTTTTGTCTTGCCCGAGGACGGGCAAGGTTTAAGTGTGGGGGGATTTGATGGGAATAAAAAGTATCATATTTTTATCCCCAAATATTCATTCTTTTACATTAAATTAGCACTTAATTGGACTCATTACTCTTGTATTTTGATTTAGGGCAAGCAAGAAGGCAAGTGGAGGAAAATAAGGCTAATTGGATGATTTTGCACAGTTTCGGCACCGTTCAGTAATCGGGGCATAACTCTCAACTCCAGACTCCTATTGGGATGATTCAAGATGCACTAGAAAGATAAGGAAGAACTCCACAACTCCCGTGTTTGGGTTTTGACAGATTCGGTCTACATTGAGGTCAAAATCGGGCCCGAAGTCGGAACAGATTCCTAATGCCCAGTTCACAGTTGAAGCCCAAATCCGCAGGAAAGCCTTGTAGCGGCCCAAGTTATTAAAGAGCCCAACTCGAATTCAAGAATAAAGAGTCCCATCAGAGTCAAATTTCAAATGTAATCCTAGATGGATAAGATGATTGAGATTAGATTACTAGATAAGAGATAGGATAGGATTAGATCAAAACTGATTAGGACTTTCTATTTTTTGAGGATAATCTCCTAAGAGGAGTTGGAGAGAGCTCCTCCTCCTAAAGCTATATAAAGGAG